TGGGTCTTTTGGACCTCCACTCTTCACTGAGGCACCTCTTCATGCTGCCCCACCCTCCTCACCCTCTACTCCTCAGATGGCAACGCAGCCCCAGCGTGGTCCCTTTCCTTCGCACACCCTCTAGTTCAGGAGGGCCAGTGGGGTTAAGAGTAAAGAGCCCTGGGTTCCAGGCTGGAGTGACCTTGCTGTGAGGCCTCATGCTGTCCCTTCCCCAGGATGACACTCTTTGTCTCGCAGTTCCTTTAGCTCCAGTAGGCCACGTGACTGGAGCTGAAGTTTAGAGGTCTGCAGAGACTAGCTCCCCAATGGCCTTGAATGCCAGGCTCAGAGCCGAGCGTTCGTCCCAAGAGCCATGGAAAGCCACTGAAGGGAAAGAACACTATTGCTTTGGCGTTTTAGAAATATCACTCCAGCTGCAATTTGCAAGCTGGATTGTAAGGGTCTTAGAGTGGATGCAGAGAGACCAGGGAGAAGGCTGCTGTGATTTTCCAGGTGAGCGGTGGCAGTGACATAGGCAGAGGCTACAGAGAGGGGATGGCATCAGAAAATATAACTGAGGCAGAATTGCTGTGGCTGTCGTAGTTGGGGTTCCTCAGAAGCATGACCAAGATAAAGATTCAACTGCAAGTACTTTATTTGGGAACAGGCAGTACAGAGTGGGAGGGGGGAGATAAGGCAGAGAAGGGAGGCGGCCAGTGAAGGGAACATTATCAGGCAAGTGATCTCTGTGCGTAACTGGAGCTCCATCCCACTGAGGACTGTAGAGCCCATTCCTCAGTTGTCCCACCCAAGTGGGGAAGACCTGGGGTATTTATACACAAACTCCCCAACAGTCAGTGGCTGAGAGCTGCAGCCTGATGGCATATGGGGCAGGGGGTAGGGTGGGTAATTCCCTGGCGGTTCCTGCCAGCCATGTGTGAGCAGAGCACGCTCCAGCTGCTACAGAAAGCACCCCCTCCCTCCGGCAGGGATGCACATGGTGACAGTTGGAAGTCAGCCTGTTGGGCACTGCAGTGATGAGGCCACAGGAGATACGGGTGGGGTACCCACAGCCACTGCTGTAGTGACCAATTGGACATGAGGTCTGTATCAGGCTCTTGTTGAAAGACACAGAAACCGAACTCAGACTTCAGCAAAAAGTCTCTTAACTCTCATGTCGGAGACGTCAGGCAAGATCTTGACAGAGGACTCAAGGCTGACACTCAGACAAAGATAGCAGCCCTAACAGGAAGGAGGACACTTCTTTCCCAAGAGTTCAGCCATAATCCCAGGGCCGACTCTCATTGGCTAACAAGGATCCTGTTCCCATCTCTGAGCCAGTCAGTACTCAGGGATGCAGGACTCTGATTGGCCAGGCCTGGGTCATATGTCTACCCCTGGGGCTCTGGCATAGGACTGGCTCCACCTGGACCACAGGAACTGAGCCTGAATCATTTTCCAGGCACAGTGGGAGCTGTTACGAGGGGAAAGACAAGGAAGGTCAGGAGAGGGAAGAATTCATGGAGGTGCCAAGGTGTCTGGCTTGAGCCCCTACTGGGTGACATTGAAGCATTTTACTGATAGGGGGATACTATGGGCCTTCTCAGAACCCTGGGATGCACCGGCATTTAAGGTGGGGTAGAAGGATAGACACGCAGGGCCCCAGAAGTCAGAGACTATTTTAACAATGAGGATTCAGTCCCAGGAAGAAAAGCGGAGGTCACTTGTGGTCATTAAAGTTTCTAGCTGGTATCTAGAGGTCTCCCTGAGGCTGGGAACCCCCACTCGCCCTCCTTTAATCCCAGAGGCACCTCCAACGCAGGGACCTGTCTAACTCCTCCCCCGACAAGCCAAGCAAGGGACCTCATCATCAAGACCACCAGGACTGAGGGCAGGGTTTGTCCCCCAGGGAATGAGGATGTGCCAGCGCTTCACAGTTCACCAAGCATTTTCCTACCCCCTCCCTCACTTCCTCCTCTGGCCCCACTTGGCAGATGCATAGTCTGAGGCTCAGGGCCCAGGTTCCCATGGTCCTCCTGGGGCAACTCTGGATTCCTGGGGTCGGGAGTGCCTGGCATATGAAATTGAAGCCAGCTTCTCCCTGGGAGGGCTGGAGAAGGTGCCCCGGTCTGGGAGGAGAAGTGTGTGCACTTCTGGGGCAGGGCTCTGCAGCTAGCTTCTGCTCCTGGTGACCAGCCCTCTCCACCTCTGGTATTTCTAGGGAGTCAGGCCCCTGCCTAGCCAGCGAGCCAGAGGGCTGTGTTTGCAAACTCTCCTGAGTTTTCAGTATCATTGCCCTTACTTGAGTGGGCATCAAGGACATATTGCTGCACACACAGCTCTCCAGCTGGAGAGCCAAGGAGGCTGGCCTCTGAGTCCAGGGACACTGCAGCCCTGAGGGGATGCAAGGAGGCCAAGAAGAGGCCAGGAGCAGGAGGGATATGCGGGTGGTTTTGCATTTGCCTGAAATTGTCTTCAAGAAGAGGTTTGCCCAGAGGGAGCTGCTGCGGGCTGGAATGGAGGAGGATACTTGACAGTCTGGGACACTGACGGGGTGGCTGAAGCCTGAGTTACCTATTTCACCTTGGCTAGAACTGCTTCTCTCAGGCTCAGTTTCCCCATCTGTAAAATGGAGATAATGGTCCCCCACCACGTGTGGCTGTTGTAATGAAGATAAAAATGTGTGTCGGCAGACTCCCTCTCCAGGCTGGGGATAAATGCTCTGACAGGCCGCCTGGTGGAAGCAGAGATGCTTCCGATGTGACTGTTCAGCTACAAGGACCATTGCTAAAATGCTCTGGACTTCAGGAGTGGGGTCCATCAGGCTCCCAGGGGCAGGGAGAGGCTCTGGCAGAGAAGGGGGAGAATTCCAGCCAGTGGACTCTGCAGAAGCCTCAGGGCTTAGGAAGCCTTGGGGCACATTTGGTCATGAAAATGGCTAGGTCCAAGGAAGTAATTCTCAGATCCCTGAGGGTCGTAGGGCCAGCAAGCTCCAAGTGACAGTGGCAAGGCAGCTGTGCAGAGGGATAGGAAGAGCTGTGGGTCTCAGCCCTGCCTCAGCTACTGAACCCACTATGTGATCTTGGGTAAGTTCTTCCCCTCAGAGGGCCTCAGTTTCCCCATCTATAAGATGGGGGTTTCACCTAGGCCAGTGTTTTTCATGCAGTGTTTGGTGGGGTCTGGGCTTTGCCTTAAGAGCTGCCCTGCGGGGTGGGAGGGTGTCTCGGACACCTAAACTTATGCTTGGTGTATGAGTTTCCTATTGCTGCTGTAACAAATTACCACAAACTTAGTGGCTTAAAACACACAGATTTATTATCTTACAGTTCTAGAGATCAGAAGTCTAAAATGGGTCGCAGGGCTGCATTCCTTCTGGAGGCTCTAGGGGAGAATCTGACTCCTTGCCTCTTGCAGCTTCTAAAGGCTGCCTGCCTTCCTCGGCTCATGGCCCCACATCACTCTGACCTCTGCTTCCGTCATCACATCTCCCTCTTTGACTCTGACCCTCATGCCTCCCTCTGACAAGGACCCATGTGATTAGGTTGTGCCCCTGCAGATAATCCAGGAAATCTCCCCATCTCAAGATCCTTAACCATATCTGCAATGTCCCGTTTAACATGTACAGTATCATAATCACAGGTTCTGAGGATTAGGCCTGGGCATCTTGGGAGCCATCATTCTGCCTCCCGTACCTGGCTTCAGCCGGAGCCCGTCCACTCTGGCCCAACCCCTCTGAGATATCCTCTGTCCCCAGTGCCCTTGGCCTCACTTGCTCCGTTCCAGCCATACCAACTCCTTGCAGATCCTCAGCACACCAGGCACACAGGCCAGACCAAGCCTTGGGACTCCTCCAAGCATGACTAGTGGGGTCCAGGGCTAAGAAAGCTTGCTGACCTCCCCCTGTGCCCCATGGTACAGATGGAAACACTGAGGCCCAGAAAGGAAAGGGACTTACCGAAGTTTGAGACTGGCATTTCCAGGATGGTTCTGGCTGGAAGGCCCATTTTACAATAGAGAAACTGAGGCACAATGGCTCCACCTACACACCATCCTGAGGATATGCTCCTGCTGTTGACTTGCTGGGAACTCTGTCCCAGGCCAGGTGTCATTGATTCATCCCAGTAGGAAAGGATGGGCTGATGGGCTTGTTGGCCTGTCTGATGACTGCAGCCCCCAGCCTCTAGCCCAGGGCTCACACTCAGTAGACTTTTGTTGAGGACAGAGTGGGTTTTTACAGAGGGTTTACATTTTGACGTAAGGATTCTTCTGCTAAAATAGAGGTGGACAGTACTACCCTCAGACCTGGGTAAGAGGGGCCCCGGCCCCAGGCCCCACTCTTTAGGAGGCCTCTCTGGCCCTCTCTCAACCTTGTTGTTCCCCACGAGGCAAGGAATGTTCAGGGGCCAAGGGAACATGCCCACCCAGAGCCTACATCCCCCTTTCGACCACACTCTGCACCCTGGGCAGACCCCAGCCTGGAATTCCCTGCCCCAAAGACCCCAGGCCTGCTTCCAGGGCCAGCACAGATCCTCCCATGGTGGCCTACACTGCCAGTGGGACCAGCCCTAGGGCTGAGGGGTGGCTGTTTGGGGGGCATGTGGAGTGAGCTGGGGGTGCACGCATGGGTGGGGCTCCTCGTGGCGAGGAACAGAGTCAGAGACAGGAGGAAAAGGGCGGGCAGGCAGCTTCCCCCTGCCCACATGCTGCCATGGAATTCGGAGGAGACCAAGAAGTCTGAGTTCGAACCTGGCTCTCCAGGTTATTGTGAAAATATGTTCGTCAAGGTAGGAGAGTAGAACATATTTTGTTTAAAGTCTTGCTAGCCTGAGGTGTCGCTTTTATTTATCCATATGCTATGTGGGTCTCCATTTGTACTCGTGATTCCCGACCCACAATGTTAAGGGCAGGCCAGGAGTCTTCAGAAATCCTCCCAACCTTGAGATCTGCGGGGGTCTGGCTGACCTTCCCAGCATCCTATCCCCTCCAAATCCAGCTAACGCCTGTCCGTCTTCTCTCCCCAGATTAGCTGCTGCCCGGGAGAGGAGACCCGGGCAACGCGCTAGGGCGACGGCCCCTGCCCCGAGGGCCGGGATCATGAAAGGCCTCGGTGACAGCCGCCCCCGCCACCTGTCCGACAGCCTGGACCCACCACACGAGCCCCTGTTCGCAGGGCCTGATCGAAACCCCTACCTGCTATCGCCCACGGAGGCCTTCGCCCGCGAGGCTCGCTTCCCCGGGCAGAATGCTCTGCCAGGGGACGGGCTTTTCCCGCTCAACAACCAGCTGCCACCACCGAGCAGCACCTTCCCCCGCATCCACTACAACTCCCACTTCGAGGTGCCAGAGGAGAGCCCCTTCCCCAGCCACGCCCAGGCCACCAAGATCAACCGGCTGCCCGCCAACCTCCTGGACCAGTTTGAGAAACAGCTGCCTATCCACCGCGATGGCTTCAGCACTCTCCAGTTCCCCCGCGGGGAGGCCAAGGCCCGGGGCGAGAGTCCTGGCCGCATCCGCCACCTGGTCCACTCGGTCCAGCGGCTCTTCTTCACCAAGGCGCCCTCCCTGGAGGGCACGGCAGGCAAGGTCGGCGGCAATGGCGGCAAGAAAGGTGGCCTGGAGGACGGCAAGGGCCGGAGGGCCAAGAGCAAGGAGCGGGCCAAGGCCGGGGAGCCCAAGCGGCGCAGCCGTTCCAACATCTCGGGCTGGTGGAGCTCCGACGACAACTTGGATGGTGAGGGTGGCACGTTCCGCAGCGGTGGCCCAGCCTCTGGACTGATGACCCTAGGCCGCCAGACGGAGCGCAGCCAGCCACGCTATTTCACACACGCCTACAACACCATCAGTGGGCACATGCTCAGAGCCGCCAAGAACAACACCGCCGAGCTGACCGCCCCGCCACCTCCGCCGGCACCCCCGGCCACCTGCCCCAGCCTTGGGGTGGCCGCGGACACCAACTATGTCAAGCGGGGCTCCTGGTCCACCCTGACCCTCAGCCACGCCCATGAGGTCTGCCAGAAGACCTCAGCCACCTTGGATAAGAGCCTGCTAAAGTCCAAATCCTGCCACCAAGGTCTTGCCTACCATTACCTGCAGGTGGGTCCCTGCCAGGGTCAGGGTGGGGTGAGGGATTGTGGGGAAGGCACCAGTTTGAGGCCCAGCTCTGTCACAGATTGACTTGGAAAGTTGTTTCACTCAGGCCTCTGTTGACTCGCCTAGGAAATGGGTGGCTGGTGGTATCTTGCTGGTAAGAGGATTCCTTCCACTGGTCATGATCTCAGCAGACATTGATTAGGACCCTTTTGAGACCAGCCCTGAGTAGGAACCAAAACATGTCCCTTCGCTTTAGAAGAAAAATATGGAAGCTGTGCCTTCTATCCCCTCCGAGGACCAATTGCACAGCATTCTGCTTGCCAGCCTCCTGCCTGGTACTGCCCCCAGACTGGGGGCTCCTTGAGGATAGGGACCATATCTGGTGCAGCTCTGTGTCCCCAGGGCCCAAGACAGGGTCTGTCATACAGGAAGTGCTCAAGAAACATGAGAGGAGAGAGGGGTAGATGAACAGATGGACCCTTGAATGAATAGAGTGAGAAATAAATAAGACATAGTCCCGATTATCAGGATGCTGGGAGAGAAAGACACATGAGCAGACACTCCTGTCAGCATGAGCGGAATGTGATGGAGATGAGCAGGGGGACTGCAGGAGCCCCGAGGCCCTAAATCAGTTTGGGGGACTAGCTTTTTTCTTTCAAACACTAATGTTTATTGAGGCACTTATTATGCATGAAGGCTGCACTCCTGGAAAGTGGCAGAAGGCTCAGAGACATCTCTGCTGCTACACTTGTGCTGGTTCTCTCAAGGGCAGGGTGAGTGGCTGAGAACTGGGTGGCTCCCGGTACCAGAGCCCAAGCTGTGGGTGAAAGTTACAGGAAGTAGATTTCGGTTCACCTGCAGATGGAAGGGGCTGTTTCAGTAGGTAGTGAGTCCCTCATCCTGGAGGGTGTGTCAGCACAGGCCTGGCCAACCTTTGGGAACCCATGAGATGCATTTTTTTTTTTTTTGTGGTACGCGGGCCTCTCACTGTTGTGGCCTCTACCGTTGCGGAGCACAGGCTCCAGACACGCAGGCCCAGTGGCCATGGCTCACAGGCCCAGCCGCTCCGCGGCATGTGGGATCTTCCTGGACTGGGGCACGAACCCGTGTCCCCTGCATTGGCAGGTGGACTCTCAACCACTGTGCCACCAGGGAAGCCCCATTAGATGCATTTTGAACCAGATGAACATCAAAGTCTGACCTGAGTTCTTGTCATTCCATATACAATAACAAAGACAGTGAGACTATGGGGGGAGGAGGCTATTTTTTTCAATAGGAGGGAAATGAAATCTAGGCAGTATTTTATATATTTAAGGCTTTTGTGGCTCTCAATCTACTTCCTTAGCTTAGAAACATCAGAGGGGGTGGTGTGTGACTTAGCTCCCTCTCAAATGATATGGTTTGGTCTGATCACGTGAAAATGCTTCAGAAACACCGTGAAACGGTGGCCCTGCAGGCCCTGGAGTGGTGCTGCCTCCTTGCTCAACAGGAAGTAGGTGGGTAAGGGCTGGGGAAGCAACAGGTGTTGAGCAGGGATATACAAAGCCACCTTCCCAAGGGACGGGTGCAGGTAGGAAGGATGGACTAGCAAATGGTTTGGGGTAGAATGTGCAGGTCCTGGTGACTGGCTGGGCAGTCAGTTGGGGAGGAGGGTGCTAATGGGAAAGCTGCAGGAGTCGGGGACCTGGGATGGGAATCCCAGGCAGGGACCCTCCCTCAGCCAAGAATCAGCCACTGGCAACGTGGGAACTGAGAAGAACGTGGTCTCTGTGCAGACGTGGTGACTTGGGGAGTGTGGTGTGCACTTGTGGGCATGGCGAAGAATGGGTGTGCTGTGTACGTTGAGAAACACGTGTGCCTGGGTGTCCGCGGTGACATATAGACCCAGTGAAGGTGTGTGCTCTGTATGTGTTGAGGCGGGGACACGGTGAGGAGGGACAAGTTGGGATGTGTCCGCGGTGCAGTGGTGGCTGGTGTGCACGTGAGGAGGCGTGTGCGCTCTGTGCTCACGTTGTGCACTCACTGAGGGGCGGGCACATGATGAAGTGGCTGGGCTGCATCCTTGGGGAGAGGTGTGTGTCCTTGGGGAGAGGGGTGTGCGGGGAAAGGGTATGCTTGCTCTCTGAGGTGCATGCACATGGCACGGCGTGTTCACCCTGTGCTCGGGCTGAGGTACGTGTGAGTGCTGAGATGAGCATACTCCATAACGAGGTGAATATCCACTGTGTGGACACATCGGTGGGTATCAAGTGAACAAGAGTGTAGACAGTGTGTGCTGTCCCGGAGCAGCTGGCAGAGCCTGGCCTCAGAAGGGCAGGGGAGGTCCCCTCAGTTGGTTTCTGCCACTGTAACCACTGAGGACCAGGGCTGCCCTCACAGCTGTGACCTTACCCTTATCACAGCCCCCTTCCACAGATGGGGTCCCTGGAGTTCAGATGGGAACACTGAGCGCTTTTTCCAGCTCACCACATGGCTGCCAGACCCCACAAAGCCCTTGTGCTCTCTGTACCTCAGTTTACCCACCTGTAGGATGAGGAATGTTGTTTGGCCCCAAAGACCTCACCTCCGTACTGATGTGCCAGGGTCCCCTGATTCATCTTCCCCCACCATCCTAGGGTCCAGGGACCTCTCTCAAGCCTGCTGTTCTTATCCGGGCAGTGGGATCATAAGCCATCCACTGAGATAGCAGGGGAAGTAATGGGAACACAGGGGTTGCTCAGAAGGGTAGCTGCAGTGGAAGCCATTGTGATCATCCTGTCTGGACGGTTTTGCTGGGGCACACTCAGCCTGGGATCCACGGAGATCTGAGGCTGGAGAAGGCCACATAGTGAAGCTGCGGCAGAACTGGCTCTGGAACCCAGGTATCCTTCCCAGCCCCGGCTCTGCCCTGCTCATGGGTGCCTTTAGTGGCAGTACCCAGCACCGAAGGCCGAATTCCCCGAGGTGGGCAGCGAGGGAGCTTCAGGGGCCTGGAGATGGGGGTTCTAGCGTGCAGCTCACTCCCCAGGTGATGAGCCCGAGGCTGGGTGGCCGGCGGCGCGCTGGGGGTGTGCGCTGCCCCCTGAGCCACCCTTGCTGAGGGCTGTCCGCCCAACCCCAGGTGCCCGGAGGCGGCGGCGAATGGACCACCTCGCTGCTGTCCCCGCGCGAGGCGGACGCCACAGGCGAGGGCCCCATCCCTTGCCGGCGAATGCGCAGCGGCAGCTACATCAAGGCCATGGGCGACGAGGACAGTGACGAGTCCGGCGGCAGCCCCAAGCCCTCCCCCAAGACGGCGGCGCGGCGCCAGAGCTACCTGAGGGCCACGCAGCAGTCGCTGGGAGAGCAGAGCAATCCCCGCAGGTGAGCGCACGGTCCCGCCCCCTAGAGTCGCGCCCGCAGGCCAGCCCTGCCCCCAGAAGCCCCACCGTGGGAGAGCCTCTCCGAAGTCCAAGTCCCGCCCCAGGAAGCCTCTGCTCACCAGTGAGTCCTGCCCCCTGGGAACCCCGCACCAGAAGCCCTGGTCACCTGTGAGTCCTGCTCCCTAAGGGGACCACTCCCTTAAAGTGAGCCACGCCCGCAGGCTTACCCTGCTCCACTGGGGCACCGCCCACTTGTGAGCGCTCCTCTGGGAAAGCCTCTTTACACTCGTACCGCCCTGGCTCACAGGCAAGCTTTGCCCTCTAGGTGAGCCCTTCACAGGTATGTCCCACCCCTGGGAACCTCGCCTTCCTCCTCTTCAGCCGCCAGCCCGGAGATCCCAGCCCCACAGATGAATCCTGCCCTCCAGCCTCAGACCCAGGTGAAGCCCCAGCCCCAATGATCCAGGCCCCCTAGGTGAACCCTCCTTCCGGTTAGCCCCCTTCCTGAGATCTTCGTCCTTAGGTTGGCCCCTGCACTTTGATGAGTTGACTCCGGAGAGCCCTGCCATTTGGTGAACCCACCCCATAAGCCCCCCACAGTTAAGTCCTGACCACAGGTGAGCCTTCTCCTTTGGTAAATCATAAGGGGAGTCTCTCCGGAGTGATTGGCCCGGGTAAAACCTGCCCACGGGAGCTACATCCCCAGATGATTTCCACTCGTACAGGGGAACTGCCCCAGGAGACCCTCTTCTTCAGTTAGAAAACCCTGCCCTTAGTGAGCCCACCCCTTGTGCCAGCACTGCCCAGGGAAGGCCAGAGCCCCCTCTGCCAGTGCCCCTGTAATTGACCCCTGAGTTGAGCTCCGAGATTGGGGATGAGGGAGGATCCAGAAGTGAAAGGGAGATAGACAGCCTTCACCTGTCCCATCCCCCGGCCTGCATTCCACCAATGGAGCCCCATCCTGTTGCTTTAAGACTGGGAAGAGTTAGTGAAAGCATGGAACATGAAACACGTGCACACAGGAAGCAACAATTAACATGTTAGAGAAGTGAGCCTTTCACATGCAGAAGTCACCGTGGGGATTAGAACAGAAAAGAATGAGTGCAAAACAGGTGAAAGTTGGTGTAGGTGATTCAGAACCCACTGAGGGAGAGAAGCAAAAGCAAGTCAGAAACAGACAAAGGACTTGGAACAGTTAAAGGAAACAAACTTAGCCCCTAGTTCTTCTACTCCTGGGGGCAAGAGCCAGAGTTTCATTGGAGGAGGTAGCCTGGGAGGACTGCAGCAGAGGGAATAGAGCAGGGCAGGTGACAGTAGACTGAAGCAGGGAGTCTCATTGGCTGGGACAGAGGCAGGGAATGGCCTCCAGGTGGGAATTCAGGACACCACCAGCCAGCCATTCCTAGGTCTCACCCTCTCTGAGCCTCAGTTTCCCTAGCTTTAAGTGAAGGGGGCTGAGCTAGATGATCTCTAAGACCCCTTCTACTCCTGAGATCCTGCAATTCCTTGAATAACCTGTGGGCATGGAGGTGGGAGGGGTGGGCAGGACCAGGGCCCAGGCCTTGAATGAGAGGGAATTGATAATAGTAGTACAGGCATACCTCAGACCACCGCAATAAAGTGGACATGGCAATAAAGTGAGTCACACGAAATGTTTTTGTTTTCCAGTGCATGTAAAAGTTATGTTTACACTATAGTCTAAGTGTGCAATAACATTATGTCTTTTAAAAAGTACATACCTTAATTTTAAAATGCTTTATTGCTGAAAACTGCTAACCATCACCTGACAACTCCGGGTTGCCACAAACCTTCCATCTGTTAAAAAGAAAAGTAGAGAAAAACAAAATAAACAATCTCTGCAGAACGCAGTAAAGTGAAGTGCAATAAAAGGAGTATTCCTGTAGTAACAGTAATGCGGGCCATCTGTCAGCCCTTGCTGCGCTCTGGGCTCTGTGCCTGCCCCAGTGCCCTTGAATCTGCATCACTGAAACCTCCTTACAGCCCCAGCAGGCAGGCACAGTGACATCCCCCACTTTATAGGTGAGGAAACTGAGACTTAAGGGGTGACGACTTGCCCAGGGTCACCCAGTGAGGAAGCTGGATTCCAATCCAAGTTTGTCTATGTCAAGGCCCTGAGCTATTGGCGGCTTGGACCTTATTTCCAGAGCAGGGGAGTTGGGGAGGGGGAGGCCCAGGGTCAGGTAGATGTGAGAAAGATTGAAGAGCCAGGGCTATGGGGAGAAGTGGTGAGTCTTCAGAAGCCTGGTGGAGGCTACCTGGACATTGTGTCAAAACTGATGACCTTTGGGCAGCCCTGGCCGGAGGTCAAGGCTGTGGGCCTGGACCCATCTCCTCTGTCCAGCCCCTGGAATTGCCCCAGGCCTGCAGAGGAGGGGGCTGTAGGATCGAGCTGGTGTGGCCCACCCCTGGTTTGAAACAGTCAAGAGCAAGCTTGTGCTGCCACCTCGCGGTTGCAGTGGGCATAACAGGTGAGGGCCATCGGCACCCTCCAGACTCACAAGGCCTCCAAAAGCTGGGAGCAGCTCTCCCCTTGCTCATCACCCCCCAAACTACCCGGGATGGCAGTGACTTCCATCTTACCCTCTGCCACTGGATAACCTTGGCCCGTTTTTCCCCCTCTGGGCCTCAGTTTCCCATGCTGAACAAAGGGTGGGCTGAGCCCCATCTGCTCCCCATCCCCACCAGGAGTCTGGACCACCTGGATTCAGTGGATATGCTGCTGCCCTCCAAGTGTCCGAGCTGGGAGGAGGACTACCACCCCGTCAGCGACAGCCTCAACGACTCCAGTTGCATCAGCCAGGTAAGGGTGGCAGGCAGCCAGAAGGTCAGAGGGCTTGGGAGAGCCCCAACTCCCACCCAGGAAAAGGACAGACGTCCAGGTCCAGCCTCTGTTGAGTGGCCCCGAATATCTGCCCTGTGCTTCTGTTCGGTCTTTGTTCCTGAAGCTGCCTGTGTGTGTCTCTTCCCCACTGACTGTCCTGTGCCTGGAGAGCAGTCACAGGGCCTCACACTGATGGCCTAAGCTGTGGGCCCAGAGGAAGGGGCCATACCACTGCCTTAGACCCAGGAGCCCTGAGGATAGGGTACTGGAGACCTGGGTTTGAGTCCCAGTCTTGTCACTGACAGTATGAACCCAGGACCAAACACCCCCTCCCTGAGCCTCAGTTTCCTGATTTACCATCGGAGGGTGATAATTCCTATTTCAAAGTGTTGTGAGGAATCAATGAGATAACAAACATAATGTGCTCAGCAAAGGGTGGCTCCCTTGATGGTTAGCATTGTCATCTTGCTGTGTGACTTCGGGCAAGTTGCTTCTCCACTCTGGACCTCCATGTCCCACCTGATCAGTGGATAGTTGGACTTCCAGGGCCCAGCCAGCTCTGCCACTAACAGCGGTGAACACGCTGTGCTGTAGTATTAATTCTCTTGACCATCAGCTAGCTCCTTGATCCCTCACAGCCACCCCCAGGTATCATCCATATGCCCATTTCATAGATGAGGAAACTGAATAGGGGGGTCACAACAGCTAGGAAGAGGCAAAGCTGGGCAGAGATCTAGGGCTGTCAGACCCAGACCTGGACCTCAGCCCCCACCGTGTTGTGCACAGTGCTTTACAGTTTGCAAAGGGACGACCAGTCAAGGCTTGAGGGCTCCCCCCATGGTGTGGATGGGGAGACGAGGCCCAGAGAGGGCAGACATCTGCCAATAGTAGCACAGTGGGGCAGTAGAGGCAGCCAGGTGCAGACCCAGCCACCTCTCTGGGCAGGAACAGGCCCCAGGTCCCGCCGTGTGCAGCCCCACGGCCTGGGCTAACGGACTGCTTAAAACTTGCGGATTCCAGCTCCTTACCACCCCATATTCCTGGCCCGGCCAAGCCCGCCCCAGCCCCCATCCTCAGCACTGTCGTTCCCACGCTCCAAGGAGACTGACCTCAGATGTGGGGAGAGGGAGATCCCCCCACCCCCGGCCAGGGGACCCTCCACCCCACCATCCTCATCCAGGCCCCACCAAGTCTCACCTGTGACGTTGTCCTGTCCTGGACTCCGGGCCTGCCACCCCCAATCTATTCTCAGCGGCCAGAGGGAGCTTGTAAAAGACAGAAGTCAAATCACGTCACCTGCTCCGAAGCCTCCCATGGCTTCCGCCTCACCCTAGTGAAAGCCAGACCTGTGAAGCCCGGCCTCCCTCTCAGATGTGCTCCCCAACTTGCTCTGTCACTCACTCTGCTCCAGCCACTCTGGCCCCCTTTTGCCCCTCACACACCTCATTCCTGCCCCAGGCCCCCTGCATTTGCTCCTGCCTCTCCCAGAGGCATCTTCTCTCAGACCTTTGCACAGCTGGTTCTTCTCCGTGTCCCAGGTCTTGGCTCAAATGTCACCTCAGAGGAACCTGCCCTATCGCTTGCCTCAGGGGGTCCCCGGGGCCCTGTTTCCTTACTCTGCTTAATTTTCTTGACAGCACTTCTCACTATCTGGAATTATACTTGTTAGTTGATGTCTGTCTCACTCTTAAGACTGGGAGTTCCCTGCAGACGGGGACCTTGCTGTCTTGTCCCCACAGAGTCCCCAGCACATGGCACAGGGCACGTAGGTTTGCTGAATGGATGGCGTCCCTCCCTGTCTCTCCCATCCTGCCTGTTCTCTCATCCCTCAGTCTCCCTGTCGGTCTGTGTCTGTCTCCCTCTGTTTTTCTCTCCCCTCATTCACATTTTTCTCTGATTCTCTCCAGTGTGTCTCATTTCCATGTTTCTCTCTGGGTCTGTCTGTCTCTCTCACACGCACCGTCTCCATCCCCTGCCTGGCCCTGACACCTGGAACAATTTTGTCCTTTGGCTACACGAAAAGGTACACGGAATGAGCCAGGCTGGGGACCCCAGCAGGTCTCTCCCACTACCCCCTGCCCAGCCCCAGCTCTCCCTTAACCCAGGATCCTCTGAACTCCCACACCCTCATCCCATGAAGCTTGAGTGACCTGAGCCACAGATGTCGCCCCAAAGTCAGAGATGTCCAGTTCTGTCTGTGTCTCTGAGGCCTCAACTCCTGCCAGAAGAAACCCCGCTCCCACCAGTCACTGGACTGTGTAAGCCCCGACCAGGGAAGAGAAGTCTCTGGGCTCTGTCCCTAATCTGTACATCCTGGGAGCTGCCTGCCCAGGTGAGAGGCAGCAGACAGGACATCCATGGTCCCAGAAGCCAACCCAGGAGAAAGACTTATAAACAGCAGATTACAAGTCTTCAACAACACCCAGCCCCGGAAGGAGTGAGCCTCCCACCCCTGGAGGAAGCCAAGACCTCCCAGCAACTGGGCCTCAGCCAGTCTGGGGAGGAGGTTAGGCCAGCCAGCCACAAGTTCTCTTGCAGCCAGGCCTGAATACCCAACCCTAGCCCCCAGCCTCCATCTCCCCATAACCCTCCCCCATCTCTTTCCTGCAGATGTTTGGACAGGCCTCCCTGATCCCCCAGTTGTTTGGCCACGAGCAGCAGGTCAGTATGTTTGCCATTCTCTTGTCCCCCAATCCCAGAGGCCAGGGCTGCGTCTCAGGCACGTCAGTGGTCCTGGCCCCTGAGCCAGGCAGGTGCAAGCAGAGCCAGCACCAGGAAAGCCCCCTCCAGTGAAGATACTGTCAGGAATCACGTTGGTGCCTGGACCTTCCACTCTTTGGCCCTATCGCTTCACTTCTCTGTGCCTCAGTTTCCTCTTCTCAAAAATGGAAAAGAATGGGCTAGGATCTATGGATGGGGCAAGAATAACCCCAGGATATTGGCATAACATTGTAAATCAACTATACTTGAATTAAAAAAATGTTTTTTTTAAATAATAACCCCAAGATAAAGGAAGGTGTACCCTGAGAGCTTCTAGCTCCCTCCTTCCTCTCATCCCCCAAAGCCTGGGAAAGCCCTGGGGAGACTTTTCCATTTGGACAGATCAGGGGCTGGGGTCATTGGCCTTCACATCCCAGCCACAAGATCCCCTGACTTATCTCCTTTCTTGGGTTCCAATAAGACCTTTAAGGATGTTAGGGTTCTGGAATGGATGCAGAGACTTTTCAAGCTTACCAAAGGTGGTGAAGACGACGCCAGTCCTGGCACTGTCTGCCTGTCCTAAGGGTGCCCCATCCCACGCACACCCATCCTGCCCCTGGAGGTGGTCCTCTCCTCCCTCCCAGGCCCCAGCCCCAAGGCCAGATAGAGAGGCCGGGAAGGTGCTCTGGGCCCAAGTCCTCATTGGGGCCAGGAGTGGCAAGGGACTGATCCAAGGCCACACGGCCTACAGGGCAGAACTGTGACTGGCTCCACATCTCCTGATTCCAGCCACGAATGCCTCATGTGCCTCCCACCTTCATATCATAATTCTTCTTGGGCACATTGTTGCAGAGGGTCTTTGGGGAGCCCACGGTGGGCCAGGTGACCTCTTCCTTCCTTCAACAGCCTCGTGATAAGGGTGTGATGTGTTCACATATAAAACCCCCAGGGCGGTTCCCTGCACATAGTACGTCCTCAATGATATACATACCAACAGCACTAACCAGCTGGCCTCTCCCTGGGAGCTTGGGAGCATCTTAACCGACACTGACAAATCTTTGCACTTGCCCCACAAAGTTGCCTGTAATAACAGGTACAGGTTATCAGGTGCTTAGTTTTCCCAACTCTATTCGAAACATGTGATTATGAATGATCTCATTTCATCTTGACCACAATCCTGTGAAATCTGGTCTCTAATTAGCCCCCATTTTACAGATGGGGAAACTGAGGCACAGAGCAGTTAAGTGACTTGCCCATATTCCTCTTGTGAGAAAATGATGGAGCCGGGAATGAAACTCTGGCAGTCTAGCTCCAGAGGTGGGCCATTACCGTGCAATCCCTAATCAAGATCTCATGGCCTTTGGCAATCACAGGGGCCTCTCAATATACCTCAGGTTGCAGCTTTGGAGGATAAACACCTATCTCTTTAATACCCTCTCCAAGTGAATTTTGGGTATGTCACATGGACTACGTTTTAATTTATCAGTGCTGTCTGATAGAATTTTCTGTGATGATTGGAAGCGTTCTATCGTCCATGCTGTCCAATAAGGTAACATGAGCAAGTGAAATGTGGCTAGTGTGACTAAGGAACTGAATTTTGTTTATTTTAATTAATTTAAACCTAAATAGCCACGCATGGTTAGTTGCTACCATATTGAACAGAGCAAATTTAGACCTTTCCAAACATATACTCCAAATTGGGTGATGATCAGGAATTCCCTGGCAGGCCAGTGTTCAGGACTCCGCGCTCTCACTGCCGAGGGCCCGGGTTCAATCCCTGGTCGGGGAACCAAGATACCACAAGCCACGCGGTGCAGCCAGAAAAAAAACTGGGTGATGATCCATCCAGTCGTTCTACCTGATGCAGTGCCAGACGAGTCCACAGGCATTCTAGTCCATTTAGATAGGGAAACACTGATCCAGAGAATAGTGCTGGCCTGCCTGAGGTCACACAGCCGGGTCCAGGGCACAGTGGCCCTATATCCAGCTTCATCTTTTCCTCCACATGGTGTTCAGTCAACTTTTGCCCCCTCCCGTGTAGCCCAGGTGTCTTCCCGGACCCCCACCCAGTGTCCATCTTTAGCCAGCTGACTCCTCAGCTTATACTCTGTGATCCCCAGGTACCAAGATGGCCTGAGACATGGGTCAGACAGACCCTTCCAGAACCATTGGAGAGTGTATGTATGGTGAGCCCCCTCTACACTCACACCCCCAGCTGCAGATTTGTAGGATCTTGTTTCTAGAGGGACACTTGGAAACCATCCAGATGAGGTTGAACTAGATGTGAGATGGCAAATAGCATATATACCTCCATTCTCCGCACTGTCCATGGCAGATGTGACTGATCAATCCTCACTGCCACTACCCTCATTCCAGTATTATTTTCTCTCACCAGACTATTGCATCAGCTTCATCTCTGGCCTCTGCCTCCATTCCAGACCCTATATCCAACATCCATTCTGTTCACCAGGGCTAGATTAATCTTCCTTAAATATACATTTGCAGTATTGATTCTGCTACTTCCTCACTGGGTACAACTGGCAAGTATCTTCCCCTCAGTAGCCCTCAGTTTCTTTGCTTATAAAAATGAAGGAATTGGGCCATAAGATGGTAAATATCTAGCACACCTACTGCCACCTCCCCATTCCAACATCCAGGGCAGACGTTACTGACTATAGCCTTCTTTCTGGCTGAATTCAGATATGACCTCAAAATCTATTAGTTAATCAGTCTGGACACACAAGATATAACCTAGCTAACATCCTAGAAAGTATATTTACTAGTTTCTCCTCCATTGTAGAGATGGGAAGATTGAGGCCCAAAGAGGTGAGAGAGTCTGTATACTTCTTAAGGGCTCCATCTGCCCATCCCGTGTCCTAAGTGAGACGGGAGCAGGAGGGTGGGCCGAGTTGAGGCCCCACAGACTCCAGCTCTGCAGCTGAGCCGACCACCAAGCACCCCATCCCTCCCCAGTGGGCACAGCCGGCCCCTGATGCCTGCTTTTGCCCTGACAGGTACGGGAGGCAGATCTGAGCGACCAGTATGAGGCAGCCTGCGAGTCGGCCTGCAGTGAAGCAGAGTCGACCGCGGCGGAGGCTCTAGACTTGCCGCTGCCCAGCTACTTCCGCTCCCGCAGCCACAGCTACCTGCGCGCCATCCAGGCGGGCTGCTCGCAGGAAGAGGACAGTGTTTCCCTGCAGTCCCTTTCCCCCCCTCCCAGCACCGGCAGCCTCAGCAATAGTCGCACGCTTCCGAGTGAGTACCGAGATGGGGGACCGCTGGGACCGCTCCTGGTGGACCGGAGGTGGGGAGGAATCCATGGTTGGTGAGCCAGGATTGGAGGGGTGGCCAGCAAAAGCAGGAGGCCTTGGGGCTGAACTTCCCACCAACTGGTGAACTGGAGCTCAAATGGCAGCAGTGGGGGGTGGGGGGCTGTCACAGAGGCAGATGTCAACACTGGGGATGGGGTGAGGGGGTCGTGAGGGCTGGAGCTTGTGAGATACTTGGTTGCCCCTGACTCTCTAGACCCTGGCTCTTACTGAAGCCCTACTTACCTGTTTGGATTAGTTCAGGTAGGCAAACCTGTGGGGAGGGTGGGCCCCTGCAGGGAAGAGGATGGGATCTGCATTGAGCCTTCTCAAAGGGGTGGGTTTGCAGGTTTCTCTCATATTCACAGTCAGGGACAACCTATCCTTTCTGATACTTGCTCTAAGTTCTCTGACAATAACCCAGGCACGATCAGAGAAAAAGGGGACCCTGTGTCCCAGAGCAAGCCATGACCATCAAGACCCAGGAAGATCATAGCACAATTTCTGGCTTAGTAGAGAGAACTTCGATCTCACTCTGACTAGAGAGTTTTCCTCCCTGAGCCTCAGTTTCCCCATGTATAAATTGAGGCATAAGCCAGACCCCAGCGAGCTCTCAGGGGAGATGAAATAAGGCTGTGCCTGGAGAGGTTTAGGCGGGCCCTTGCACATGGTAGGAGCTGACAGGTGTAGCTGTTCTTACTGGTTCTCAGACTTGACTCTGAGCCTCCTGACAATCAAAGGCACAGAGGTTGGATTATTGTAGGAAAACCACATGTTTCAAGCGGTCAATTGGTGTTTGATATAAATAAATGAGCCTGAATCTTATGGATATTCTATACACAAGAAACCAGCTTATTGACTGAAAACTGCAAAGGCAGGGGGCAGAGCAAGAAACCACTTTGTTTCACTGTTGCCTTTCAAATCATGGCTGATATCTGGGCAGATCCCCGAGCTTTTCCAGGCATTTTTAGACCTTAAGGAACAGTCTCATTTTCAGGTATTGAGAGTCTGGTCTCATTTCAAAACATCAGTCTCATCTACTTCAGACCTCATGCACCTGCAGCTAGGGCCTGACTAGGCTCAGAAGCCCACAGTGGGGAGCTGGGCGTGGTGGTGAGTGTCTTCTCTGTTCCTTGTTCATCCGTGGCCATTTCTGGTTCCTCCAGGGGGAGGGGAAGGTCGCTAGTGCAGATGTTGTCTGGCACCAGGAGTATCTGTGTGACAGGTGCCACTTGCTAGCTCTTTCTCTTAGGTGGTACTTTCAGAGTTTCTCCTATCTTGCAGGGCCCTTGTGGTGTCTTCCTTCCTAGCATGGGCAATCCCCCTCCAGGCCACTGCTGCTTATTCTGTCTCAGCTCCTCCAACCAGTGGTCGCCCTCCTCCGCACTCAGCCTCTTTTTGCCAGGGGACCTGGCCCTGCCAGGCAGGCATCTTGGGCAGACTCCTCCGATGACAACTCCAGCCCTACTGTCTCCCTCAGCTCCCGCTTTACCCATGTGAAAATGAGGCCTGTGCCTTGCAGAACTCTGAAAGTATAGGCTGGTCTGCTACAGCTTTCCTTCTAGACCTGCTATCACAGCTAAGCCTGCCAGCCTCTCCACATTAGAAGTCTCCAAAGCAGGTGTCGGGGTCCAGTTTCTTTGGCCTCCAAATCCAGGGTATCCCTGCCAGGCTCTCCCAGGCACTCTGTTACAGTCTTATAAGAGTCTCAGGTAAAGGATCAGATTCCCCACATCATCAGGCCCAAGGAAAGTTCTCTAAGCAGGAGGTGGGCCTGGGGAATCAGATAGCACATCAACAATTTTCTTCAAACAAACCTTCACTCACCGATCTCCCCCGACCCCAATCACTCGTGAATGGACTGAAGATGGGTGATGGGCTACATGTCCCAGAACTGTCTGGGTCCCTGTATTGGTCAGCTATTGCTACAATAGTGCTGCAAAGCAAACAACTACAAAATCAGTGTAATACAACAAGTAACATTTATTTCTTGCTCCCAAGTTTGTGGGTCAGCTGGAATGGCTCTCCTCCACATGTTTCTCACCCTCCTCCTGGGACCAAAGTGTCCTCCTGGGAGCAGTGGCTTTAGCAGGGCATGTTCTTCTCATGTTGATGGCAGAAGCACAGAGAGCAAGCCTAACTACACAGGCACATTTCAAGGTCCCTGCTTGCATAATATCTGCTAAAATCCTATTAGTTAGAGGAAGTCATAGCTCAAAAACAAGGGATGGAGAACTATCCTCCCACCGTGTGGACAGAGGAAGGGGTGAAGAATCAGGGTCAGTAATTCAATTTACTGTGGTCCACTTTCTTGGCCACATTTGTTCATGTCCCTCCCACAGAAAATACCCTTATCCCAAAGATCCTGAAAAGACTCATCCAATCATAACATCAGGATCTCATGGTACACCTGAAACTAATACAATATTGTAAATCAACTCTCCTTGAGTAATAAATAAATACATAAATACATGCATACATACATACATACGTTTTTTAAAAAGGAAAAAACATCTCATGATCTGTGTCAGATATGGATGTGGCTCCTCTTGATCAAGCAACCTAAAATCTAAAATTAAAAAAAAAAGGTATCTACCTCCCACCTCCCAACCCCCCGCACACACACCCAGCATACCTTGGTAAAATAGGGACAGGCAGTCCACAGTCCTGTTCAGAAAGAGGGAGAAGGGGTTCAGAGACTTACTGATCCATGGCCATTCTGAAGTCCTTCTGGGCAGATGTTGGGCAAATACTCTGGGAAAGGGAATGTCTCTTGACTAGGCCCAAGCTCTATGCTCTGGGGTTGATTCCCTAAGCCATGGTTTTCCGTAGCTCTTGGCCCTGCTCTCTGAAAGCCCTTCCTTTTCCATTAGCTTTGTTGGCATTGTCTAAAGAAAGCATTGGAGAATAGGCCTTTGGGCAGCCAAAGAGCCTTCTTTGTCTGCTTCCTGCCTGAAGAAAGTTAGGGACCCAGTTGTCTTTTTACATCTTGAGTGGTCTCGGTCCCTTGAGCCTAAGCTGATCATAGTTTTGGCCACACACCTCCCTCAAACACTTTATGGGTTTTCGATGTATTTGATTCCACTTAACCCCATGTACCAAAAAGCACACCCACCATTATTTTTGAGTCATGTCAGTCTCTCTCAACTCAATTATGATGACTTTGGGTGCATCAGCCTTCTGTGGGGCCATGCTCTTAAGCTTTCTAGAAGCTCTTCTGAGCAGCTGAGAGCATCTACTGAATGTTACCTTATTATTTTAGAGTATTAATAAAAGATGTCATAACCACATCCTCGATATGATCTGACCCACATGCTGTATCTGAAGGCCATGACCTTGGTCTGATCTTTGTCCCCAGGCTGTATATTAATTTGAAACTGATTTACTGGCTGGAGAAGCTGGAGTTGACTGATCTCTTGTCCAACTCAGCGAGTTCTGGGCTCTCTGTATTCCCTCTAAACACTCCCTGTGACACTCCCTATTTCTTTTATGAATTCCTCTTTCTTCTAAGTCCTTATCAAATTCAGCCCAAAGGAGCCAGCTCTTGCTTTCAGCATTTTACCTGGAAACTCTCTTGCCCAAATCCATTGGTTCTCTTCAAGTTACTGTAGATTGACAGTTTTACCAAGCATTTTGTCTCTGCAGAGTATGGGTAACCTTTTTTCAAGCCTCCTCTAACAGTTTGCTCACTGCTCACCACTTGGTCCCAGAGCCGATGCTACATATTTTTGTTTTTGTTGCTTATACACCCCACTCTTGGTACCAATTTCTGTATCTATCAACTATTATCGCAATAATGCCGTGTAACAAACAAGCTCATCTAATTTCAGAGGCACACAATAATGCGCATTTGTTCTCATTCATGAGTTTTTTCGTTGGCTGGTTCTGCTCTGCATGTCCTATATTCTCCTTCTGGAACCAAAGCGCACTCCTGGAATCAGTGCCCTAGCCAAGGCATGTACTTCTCATGGTGGTGGCAGAAGTATAAGAGGGCAAATCCCACAGTACAAGCTCATTTCAAGTCTCTGTGTCACACCTGTGAACATCTGGTTGGTCAAAGCAAGTCACATGAGCCCAAAGCCAAGGTCCAGGGAAATACACTCAACCTTTTGTGGGAGAAACTGCAGTTCCATTGCAAAGGGCATGAACACAGGGAAGGGTTGAGAATTGAGGCCAAAAATTCAATCACAAAAAAAAAAAAAAAAATTCAGTCACGGCCCCTTCAGCACATCCTGTATGAATAATCCAGCATTTCTGGCTTTAAATGTAGGGATGTGGGGCTCCAATTATTCTCAGTTTGGGAGCTTAAGCCCAAACCAGGATACTCAAGAAAGTACTGGTAGCAACATCTGACACCTACCCGGACATGTGTGCACATATATACCTACTTATGGACATATATAAGGTTCTGTACCCTAAGACCTCTCTCTCTGAAAACATATAAAAACACATGCACACTGATATTCTCACATGCACAAACATACACCTAATCTCTACATACAGTTGCACATGCTCTCACATATGTGTGTGTCTCCTTCAAGGCTCATGCCACCTCCACACCCGTGAGGAAATCATGCCCCTAACAGATTGGAGCCACCAAAACAATCCCCCCTACCCCGTGTTTCCCCACTCAGCCCTCCCTCCAGGTCTCCACAGTGACTACTACGTACGTGCTCCTCTCTCCTCCAACCCCTGATCCCCTCATGCTCAGCAGGTAAACTCACCTGCCTTGCAGGGAAAACCAAAGCCACCAGATTTTTCAGACCTGTGCCCAGAGCTGCAGTTGGTCCCTACAGTACCTTAGTGCTGGGTTAGGAAAGACACTTAACTGTCATCTATTGGAAAATTATCATGATGCACAATTTTTATTAGAATAATGTCCTTTACTGCCATCTGCCACAGATATGTCATAATAAATATACAATTCGATTATGTCTGTGTTGTGAA